GTCGTATCATGAAGACCTTTGCATGCTCCAGCAAAATTCATGCTGGAGTCAATGTTTAACAAAGGCTTTCAGGAACTGACCAGAGAGAAAAGGTAAGGCTTACATACAGCAACATCTAGATGTATAAAAATCAAGACCAATTTGGGTTTAAAAAAAAAACCTGGTGCTGTTACAGTGCTTTAATAGCCTAGTGGTCAGTGCTATCCAAAAAAAAGGAAAAACTAAAATGCAGCTGCAGTGTAGGACATGAACAGGAATTTTATGCTTTTTTTGTGGATTTCTACAGAGAATATGGGACCAGAAGGATGGTATGTCTGCTGTGGTGGCATAATTCCTATATGACTAAATCCAGAATTGCATTTAGCTCCTCCAGGAGAGTAGCTCCTGGGTTTTGTGCTTGCAGAGAACAGCAAAACCCCTCCAATGTTATCACAGGAACAGCAAAATCATTGGGTGACTTCTCCTTTTCTCCTGTTCGCAAAGGCTCATCCACATTGTCCTGCCCCGGCACTGGACGCAGCCAGACACAGGGCGTATCAGCTGGCAGAAGGATTTTATTGCAGTTGATTTGCCAAGAACCAGGTCTCAGACTAAATCTGCAAGAGGAAATGCCCATAGCTGTTGGAGATAAAGGTGGCCTGATTTCAAGGAGGAGATAGATTGTGGGTTGCCTGCTCCTCTGAAGGAGAAATCTGTAGCAATGACCTTCAGTCCCCTTATCAGATGCAGTTTTCGTCACCTCTGTCTGAAAAGCTAGACTACCCCTTGTGTCTCCGGCAAGAGTAAATGGGGTATTTGATCAGCCCAGGGGGAACCGGCACCCAGCTGACCACCAGCGTCAGTCTTGGTCTGACAGAGTAGCGACCTGAACTGGAAAGAAAGAAGCAGCAGAGAATTTAAGTGCAAATTGTGTGGTTTTGGTGTTAAGATTGCTCAGCGTGGTTGAGCTTGAGTCCCGGAGCGTGGCTGAGTGGGTGGCTTTTCGGCCGGGCTATGATGAAATGCAGAAAAATTCCCAACAGCAATTTGGAAATTCACTTCTGCCCACCAGCTGGCAAAGAGCCACCAAGCAGCTCTAGAACAGCAACAGCCTTTGTTTGTAACAGTGCCAGAAGAAAAAAAGCCTCTCATGTCTTACCAAAATACCATCATTGATCAATGACGTGTTAGATAGATATATTTTTGAATGTTCAGCTCTGGGGGAAAAAAAAAAAAAGAAACAAAAACAAAACCGAAAAACCCCCAAAAACCCCAAAACCCCAGTTTTCTCTGGTATTTTTATTCCCTGCCTTGCTTTCTGCTGATCACTAGTTTAGCATAAACTTAGCTTTCCTGCAGCAACACACATGTAGTTTAGACCGAAAATGTCCAGGCCATAAAGCATTCAGATTACTTCCATCGGATAGACATCATTTTGATGTCCCCCCTTCTGGTAGAGCAAGCCCTGTACCATTTCTCTGGACATTTCTCCTGTTTTGACACCAGATTTTAGATATAGCCATACAACAGCAATACTGCAAGCCAGCAGACCACCTACCACAGAAAATGGGATGACAAAGAGCATTTGAGATCTTGACAGGAAGGTGGGAAGCGGCTGATCACTTGGTCTTTCTTTAGTCACCTGCTCTCCGGCTTGGCCTGAGAACGCCTGACTAGTAAAAACTAACGTATCAGAAGGCTCTTGCTTTCCTACAAGCAATGAATAACCAAATGTTCTAGTACCAAAAGCATCTGCAAAGGAACCGATGACCTTGTCGGTATGGACAGAAGGACCTTTGTCTGTGGCGTTTGTGGAGTTTGGAGTAGAAACCGAAGTATTCTTTGGAGGAACTGGTGAGGCCGGGATTGTGGCGATCTCCATGCTGCCCAGGATGGAGGGGAGATCTGAGCTAAAACTCTTAGGAGCAGCATCTGGTGCATTGGCTGTTGCACTTGTAGGGTCCAGGGATTCATTTTTCAGAAGTACAGGATGGTCTGATCCTTTAGTACTGGCCGTGGGGTCTGAATTTGAGCTAGGAGAAGTCATGACTCGAACACCAGCCGTAGCATTTGCAGTATGTCCTACAGGTTCTTCTGTAGATCCTACGGCACTGTCAAAGCCATGCGCAAGAGCCGTGGGATATGGGGTGGGCTGGCTGGAGACTATGCCTGCTCCAAAAGTTTTTGAAGGTGCAGGAGATTTTAAGGAGTCTCTGTTTGCTTCTGGAGTGACTTCAGAGTGGGCAGCAACTTCCCACATCACGGGGGACAGTCCTGCATGGAGCTGGGTGGTGTCCTGTGTGACTGCTGGGGACTTGCTGGACGCCTCCGTCCTGGCAGCAGGAACACGTATTCTCTCCAAAACTGTTGTGCCAGTCCCTGGGAAGAAACTAGTCGGAGCAGTGGCTTGAGAGGAAGCTGTTACTGTAAGACCAACATGTTTCTGAAAAACACCAGGTTCTTCTGGTGCCACTGCTGAAGCGGCACCAGGAGGCAGTGGGCAGGCTGTGGCCTTTTTCTGGTCCAGTTTCTTTACAATCTTCTTCACCCACTCTGCCTCTGGATCTGCACACATCTCCAAGGACTTCAGAGTAATAAATCTGAAAATAAAAAGGGATCGCTTACTGGATAAAGAAAACACTGGTGCAGATGGTCAGCCTGATAGGGAAGGCATGCAGACAGCAGCACCGACTCTCTCAAGCCACCACTGGGTTGGATGGATGGATTATTTATTTCGGCACCTCCTGAGCTGCAATTAAGTGGTCTTGATGGTGCCTCATCTTCAGGGTAAGGTGAAAACAACAATTATCCTGGGGAAAAAGATGGAGCTTTTCCCATCTCCAGACAAGCTCACAAGTCTGGATCTGTCCCCAGAGGTAACACCTGCTTTCACAGAAACACGCGAGCTCTGGCCCTGCGTGCTTCCGCTGCCCCGTTCTGCCCACAAGTGCGTCCGCCTGTACCCCTCCCCGTCCATTTATCCCTGTCTCGCTCCGCGTGCGAGCCCCCGGTCTCACTTGGAGGTTGCTGGTCTTTAAACAGGGGAAAAAACCCCCACCCACCCTTCAAACCAATACCAGCGTTGGCTCTGCTTCGACTGCTCCTTGCTCCAAAGCAGAGGCATTTGCCGACAGGGCATGGCTCACCGCAGTGCGTGCCGGAGGGCGCACGGCGGCGGAGGGGGAGCAGTGGGGCAGTGCTTACATGACAGCTTGTTTGGCACACTGGGGTTCGGTCCACCGGTAACTCCTTATCCGCTTCGCTGCTATCTCAGATGTAAAACTCCTGCACTCGGTTGAACACTTCAGAAGTGCTTTGGGTTGAGCTGAAATAAAAGTTTCAACATATTAAATGTTGGCTTCTTATTAGGTACTATAAAAACTGGGACTGTTTCTTTTTCCCCCTCTCTGGGGAAGAGGAGCCCAAAGCTTGCCATGAAAGTTTCCGGTCCCTGCTAAAATGAGGTGAAGACAAATCCCATCAGGGCCACGATTATTTGTACCACCCAAACAGGCAATAAGATGATATCCAAAAACCAGCAAAAAAAAGCCGTGTGAATATTGCAGGGTTCTTGGGACACTGCTGCAGCTTGCCTTACAGGATGGGCAGGCACCGGCTGGAGGTCCTTTGTGCACCTGGACCTGCAGGTCCTCTCCCCTTCGGGTCACAGGAGGACTGCTCTCAGCACGGTACCCAGAAGACACATTTCTTCACCCCCAAAAGACCTGCTGCAACCATCACCAAGGGGCTCTTAGTGCAGGCAGCGCAGACCAGAGGGCAGGATGCCTGTCCTCTCCTTATCTGGGTCAGACATATCTCCTCCTCCTGTGGGACTTCCTCTCCAGGGAAGCCTCTGTTTGCTGGTACGTGGTCTCTGAACACCGCTTGGACTCAGAGAAAGGGTGCAGAGAAAGAAGCTTTTGGTGAATGACACATTGCTCCTGTAGATGTCTCAGCAGCCCAGCGCCACAGCACAGTTTCTCACCAAACATCTCTTTTCCATTTCCACCGGAAAATACAGTTTTCATTTTGCTAAGTGCAAATATAAACCCCCACTTGACCCCTTCAGGGGTCAAAGCCAGTCACACTACTGGGGACCCTTCATTCCTGCACCGACCTCCGGCCTCCAACAACAGGCGCTTGCCAAGTGAGAGGAGGAGAAACAAGTTGCACAACGCAGCCTGGCAATTTGTTTCTGATGTCCCAGGGGGCAAGGCTTAAAAAAACAAGCCCTGATTCACCCGAGGCCCCCTGTGAAGAAAGGAGCTGCAGTCTGAATTAGATCATGCAGTGTCTACAAAATGTTGTCTCAGATTCACAGATGAATTTGATGCAGTTCAGTTGGGAATGATCCAGCCGCCCGGTGCAAGAACGAGCATCGCGCCAGGAACGCCCTCAACTCTTTTGATCCATTTACTGGGGAAACCCAGGCTTGCACAGAAATCCCAAGCAAATGCTCCTGTGGCCCCTATACAGCAGCACATTTCAATCTCCAGTCTCTATAATGCTAAAGCAAAACTCTTTGTTCACAGAATAACATCGTCTGTGGCACTGTAGGGACAAGAATACCCACTCAGGAATGACCGACTTCCCAATTAACTCTCATTAGCCACAGGATATACTGCTGGTGTCCCCCACTTTCAGGAGCACTGTTCAGCCAAGCAGGCACTGCACAAGAGGGCCAGATCCATCCCTGCGGACAGTCGGGGAGGTGGTTGGCAGGGAGTGGGCAGGGACTGCTCCCAAGGGCTCTCTGATAATTATCAACTGATTTTCCAGTTATTGGCATCACAAATAAATGGTTTGCAATGAGCTGAGCTCAGGGCATGTTTTTCCCAGAGTGGAGGAGCTTGGAAAGCACCCTCCAAGGAGAGAGTGGTGTCGCAGGGAGCCAGCCCTGGTGCTCCCCCTCCTCTGGGGCACACAGCTCCGCTTCTCCGAGCTGCATCTGAATCTTTGCCAAAGGGACCTCCGGGACACCTGGGATCTGCGAGTTTACCCACCTGGGACCACCACTCCTTGGAGGCACCGCTCCTGGGAGCAGCACCTATTTGTCTCCTCAGGAGACCCTGGCAGGGAGCACCACCAGCCTTTCTCTCTGCAGAGCCAGCCAGAGGAGATGGATTCCTTGGATCCCTGGCCGCCGGCGAGCGGAGCCAGGCAGTGCCGGAGCAGGCAGCAGGTTCAAAGGGCAGGGTGAGCAGCCCGGCATCCCTGCTGCTCGCTTTACTCAGGCGAGAACCTGCCCGGAGGTGTGAAGGGGAGGAAGAAGCTCCATCCCCGTCTTGCTCTCCTCACTCCTCCCACCCGGCAGCACCAGGCACAGATCTTTAGGGCTCCTTGCCCCTCTCCCTTCCCATGGTGCGAACAGATCGTCCCTTCATCCTGGGCAAAGTCCAGCTTTACCTGCGCTGCTGAGATGTTGGCTGCCAGCCTGGCAATCCGCCCTGCTTAATTACTATCTTGGGCAGCGATCACTGATGTGTGCACAGCCCCGGGGAGAGCTGCACCCACCTCCTGCCCGTCCTCTGGCCCCGCTCAGCACCACCCTGGAGCAGGCAAAGATCTTTGCCCAGCGAACAGGAGAGCGTGTCCCACCTGTGCACACACGCACACACACATGCACGCACGCACACTGCACAGGTACTAGAGCTGCAGGCGACAGCACCCCCCCCCCAGCCTCGCAGCGATGGGAGGGAGCCTGTGCGGACAGACATCCATCCTTGGACAGACTGCGGTCTGCCCCCACGGCATGCCCCTAGGGGATGTGAAAAAAGGGGAAAAGAAGCACATTACGCTTCTTTTCTACTACGGATCATCAGAAACTCCTACGAGATCTCCCACAGCCCACGAAGGTCTCTCGGTGCTCATAGCCCCATCCGGCACCGCCTGCCTCCCCCCGCACAGCTCACCAGCCCCGGGCGTGATCCCGGCTGCTCCCCTGGGGAGCCCAGGGGGTGGGAAGCGGAGCTGTGGCTCACCTTCAGCCAGGGTCACCAGGCACAACGTCCTCAGCACAAACAGGACCTGGAGACAAAGGGCCTTCATGGTCCCGTGGTCGGCAGTAGGAAGGGAACGCAGGGAAGGATTACAGGCAGTATTTCCTGCTCCCGACTGCTTATGGCATCCTCTGGAGCAACACAGCTGCTGCAGGTCATTCCAGGATTATGAAGCCCCAAGACGGGTTTTCAGCTGTTATTCATCTCCCCTGCATCCGTCTCGGTGACGACAGGAGGCGGAGAAAGGAGCGGGACAGGGGAGGGAATACTGCCTGCTCCTGAGCTAGATGGCTCCTGGAATTCCCCGGCTACACTTAGATCAGCTTTCCTAAGTGCATGCAGGGCAGCTCCTGCCTCCTTGACAGGCGGGGACTTTCAGGAGTGGGCTGCTCCATCCTCCTCTCCCACCGATGCGTGTCTCAGCCAGACGGCCTGTGCTCAGGCACCACTGTCCTTAGGCTTGTAAAGCCCTCCCCACCTCCAGCCCACAGCTCCCCATTACACGATAACCTCATTATTTACCCCAAATGCAAGAGCAGATATTCCCTTCCCTTTTGGCAGCCATCTCATAGCAGCAGCGTTGGTCATTAGGCCAAAAGAGGTGGAATTTGCTAATCAATCAGGATTACCAGTTCATCAGCTAGGTCGGTGAGCTCACGCCAGGCTGGCTCTTGGGAGCATCACCAAGGCGAGGGGTGAGCAGGGACCCCGCGGTCTCCCCAGGCAGCTCCTCGTTCCCCGGGCACGCTGTCTGTGGCGGGTGCTTGTGACTACAGCCCTGACTTCGATATACGGCAGGGTCTCGGCCGTCGGGCTCTTGCTGATGCTGAGAGCAGGAGCACGAGGCCCCCAGAGCTGCAAGCAACCAGCCTGGCTGGGGGGGCTTTCCCACCAGCACAAAGCCAGCTCTGGTGTGGACACAACAACAGAGCGGTCATATCCTGCACCCTTACTTTCTCTTTCATCTGGGATCCCAGCAGAATAACATTTTTCCACTGTCAACTCCCTCATCTCAAAGATAAAGATAAGACCAAGACTCAGGCAGCGTGGCTGCCCTCGAAATCTTTTCCCCAGAGTTTTCTGAGGGCTCGTGGAAACGTGGCTTCTCTCTGCTGTGGGAAATTCCAGCAGTTCCAGTTGGGATTTTACTCCTAAAGAGTGAAAATCCCCAGGTTTCCATATGGTGCATTTTTAAAACATTTGGTGAAACTCCCAGACTGTAACTTCAGCCTTTGCTTATATTGTAATAGAAGATAAAACCTATTTCAACCTATAAAATAAATAAAAATTAAGACCTTGAAATAGTCTGTCTGATCCAGCCAGAACAGAACTTGTTGCATCTGTTGGGATGTTTTCTGGCCCCTTCCCCAAACCCTGATATCTCGGGCTGGGCAGAGCCTTACAGGAAACTTTTATTCCAGGAACTGGCATTGCCCGAGGCGCCTGGGCACCCTGGCTGCTGGGAGCGATGGCACAGCCCACACGCGCCCACATCTGCCCTGAAGAAACAGGTTCTCCTGCTTCTGCAAAGGCTTTGCTGCCAGCGATGGGTAAAACTGGGCAAGGGCTCCAGCACGCACGTAAAACACGAGGGCGAGGGCTTTGTTTGCCAAAGGCACGACCTGCCACAGGTGGTGGTGTTTTAAGGCACAAACAGCGCTTTGGCAGGGTAATGCAGCTGCTTTTTCTGCGCGGACTGGGCTGGTGGTGATTTTACCTGGTAGGCGACTCTTCCAGGAGATTCTCAGAGCCCTCCCCTTGTCCCAGTGAGCTCGGCAGCTGGATTCGGCGGTGGGATCTGCAGAAGGACACCCCGCAGCACGAGGGTGGAGGGCAGCTGCAGCCTCAGTGTGGCTTGGTGGGACACAGCAAAACTTCGGGTGCCAGCGGCGGCGTGAGTCTAAGCCATCAGCAAGCCCTGCAGTTCCCACCGAAAGCAGGACGCAAAGGCACAGCAACTAGCTGCGATGGCAGTGGGCAGCTCCAACGATCAGTGACAGACCTGGGCTGGCATTGTCACTCCCTACGCCCCCCTCCCGTCCCATTGCACATCTGCCCCTCCAGCATGCCAGTGCCAGCTGCCTACTGTACTTCTTTTAGGTCTTGCAGCACTGAAAAAACCAAAGTCAGAGGACCTGCTGTAGCCCAGGAGATATTTCTGCTGTAACCTCTGCTCTGCCCTGGTGAGGCCACATCTGGAGTTCTGTGTCCAGGTCTGGGCTCCCCAGTTCAAGACAGACGGGGAACGGCTGGAGAGAGTCCAGCCGAGGGCTGTGAGGATGAGGAGGGGCCTGGAGCATCTCTGGTATGAGGAAAGGCTGAGAGAGCTGGGGCTGGTTAGTCTGGGGAAGAGAAGGCTGAGAGGGGATCTCATCAACACTTATCAATATCTGAAGGGTGGGTGTCTAGAGGAAGGGGCCAGACTCTTCTCAGTGGTGCCCAGTGACGGGACAAGGGGCAACGGGCACAAGCTGGAACATGGGAAGTTCCATCTGAACATGAAGAAAAACTTCTTCCCTCTGAGGGTGACCGAGCCCTGGGACAGGCTGCCCAGAGAGGTGGTGGAGTCTCCTTCTCTGGAGAGATCCCAAACCCACCTGGACGCCGTCCTGTGTGACCTGCTGTGGGTGATGCTGCTCTAGCAGGGGGCTGGACGAGATGATCTCCAGAGGTCCCTGCCAACCCCGACCAGTCTGTGAATCTGTGTTGTATTGATCTGACAGTGAAGGGTCTCAGGACTTCTCTGGGCTCATCTTGGCTTCAGCTGATTTTAGATTCTTTAGTTACGATAGAAGGTGTCTAGGCAATTGCTGTTGTCTTAATTTGATTTAGTTTTGGTTTAGTTTCTAGGAATAGCAGGTAGTTATTCAGGGCAGGTCTGGGATGGTAGATTAAATTGCGATGTGGAGGAGGACACCAGCCATCCTGATCCATAAACACAAATCACAGCGCCCAAGCAATGGAGTGTGCAACCCTGTGAGTCAGGGACAACCAGCCTTCAAGGAAACAAAGAGCAGAAAAACTGAGTAGCTGGGAACCAGGGAGCACAGACTGTGCTAAGAAAATGTATGAAAATGAAACCAAGCAGACCAAGACCAAGGAGGAAGAAAGCCCACCGTGAACATCACATCTTTCCAGTGAAGACCACGGGCTGGGGCAGCTCATCACAGTCCTTCCCCATTCTTTCTTAGGAGGACTGGAAGGAAGCTTCTCAAGGTTGCCCTTAGCATTCAAAGGCTCTGCGAAGGGGTGGTGTAGCTCCAAAGAAAAGCAGAAGATACTAGGGAAAGGGTTGGGCTTTTTTCCCCCCTATTACTGTAGTATGAATGATGAAGGCCCTTAGGCTGACCTGAAACATGGACAAGGAAAACACATGAGCAAATGTAGGTCCGTGCAGCTGCTGTGGAGTGTGGGCAGAGGGAGCACAGGGCACTCTGCACTGCTGGGCCATCCAACGCAGCTCCAGGTTTGCTCCTCAGCATTTGCAAAAAGGCTCTGTAGCTCGCACCAGACAGCTCGGTGTTGAGGTTGGAGTCGGGGCCGTGTGGCTCCAGCTCCTGCTCTGCTCTAAGGACAGACAGGATGGATGTCCTGCTACTTAAAGCTGGCTGTGCTGCGGAGAAAGGGAGAGCAAGGTCTGGTGTGGACTGGATGTTGGTGCCAGCACAAGGCATGATCAGAAGCCTGGTCTGATGCCATACCCCAACCTTTAGATGCTCACTGGCAACCATTAGCCAGGAGCTTGGCTTATTGCTCCAAACCGCTAGCCAAAGGGCCAGATCCCATCTTGAGAGACATGAAAGCAGCTCCAACATTTTGCACCCACTGCAGCTTTGTCAGGGCTGTTCACAGGCTGGTGCTCCAGCTATGCACAAGGTCAAGGTCTGTGCACGTGGAAGGAATGTATGAGTAATGCCAGGAGAATTGTTCCTGAAAGCGAAAAGCAACATGATCCCAAAAGGCAATGTGCAAAAAAATATGCAAAGAGAACAAGGGCTACGTCGTAAACAAATAGAAAACACCCCCAGAACATGGCTTGTCTCCTACAGGGACTTTCCATGCTGGAAATTTAAGATCCTTGGCTACTCCTGGTTCCTCGTGCAAGAAGGACTATGAGCTCCTTGTTACTGTTCCTGGAAATCAGGTGGTGACTGGAGAAAAAGGAAAAGTCAGTGAGACCTAGGAGGCTGTACCTTACCTGGAAGAAAGAGATGCCAGAGCTAATCAGATGAGAATGCTGATGACTTCCACTGCATGGACTGTTCAGGAACTCCAAGACCTCAGGAGTTGGTCTTCCTGGAGCAGGGAAGCCCAGCACCCCTGGTAGCAAGTAGTAACAGCATCCTTTGCTGTCCACAATGGTGTCCATGATCTCTGTCCCAAAGGCTTGCTGCAAAGAGGCAGCAGGGACACTTAGCTTTTGGGAAGACCCAGCTGGTCTTGATGCTGCAGCAGAGACAGGCTGACCCAGGACTCCAACTCCAGACACATGGTGAGATTCTCTTTCCCCCCCCACTAATGCTCCCAGCTGCAAGCTGCCTTGTGGCAGCTCATCCTTGCGCTACATCCAC